TGTTTGTGTCGTATGTGACACTTCAGTCCCGCCAGTGAGCTGTATACAAGGCCACATATTGCGATACAGCGAGGATGTCGGGTCATGGCAGCAGGATTATTTGCTGATGCTTTTCGCAGTTGTCTTTCGTCTTTTCGTCGGTCAATACGACTGATTTCAAAATTTATGATACCACTCTGGCACAAATATCTTCATTTATTTCTATCCAGTACCACTTGCTCGAAGTTATTATGAGTCACATTGATAGCCAATTAGCTTTTCTTCATACCTGAGACACGGCCGTATAACAGTTATTTGTCCACTGTCAAGTTGTCTATACATGAGGACCTTAGGTATGATGTCATCCTTACAACATGACCATTCCAGAAAAATTGTGGATAAATCAGGTAAGCCTCAATTCCACCAATTTTGTTAGATGATCAGCACTGGACTTCCTATCGTCAAAAGTATAGCCACAGATCGCGCGGAGACAACATTTGCGGAGAGACATACAGATGATTGATATGGTTCCTGTAAGAGGTTTACAATTCGTTTACTTTATGACCGAAAGATTTGCATGCAACAGAGGTTGACGAATTCTTGGGCTTCCTCTAGCATCATCAGCAAACAGCAGATCCAGAATGATGCTAGTTCGAATAACTGTTTTTGCTTTGAACCGCTGATCTTTGAAAAAGCCACTACTGGTTAAAAACTGAAAATTAATACAAGTGACTACATCACCAAAAGCATATTTGAGCATTACTGAGAATAGGACAAAGAGAACAGGAGCCATGACACAACCTTGCTTCCTGCAATTTGTAACATCAAAGGAATCAGAGAATTTACCATCGGATACAACAGCAGTTTTCATTCACTCGTGAATGGAGATCATAGCATCCAACATTTTATCTGGGATAAACTTTTTAAAACCTTTTCAGATAGCTTCACGATTTATTATGTCGAGGGTTTTTGTAAAGTCAACAAACACCATATACAACTCTTGGTACTGTTCACTCACTTTTCAGCTAGCTGATAGTGTGGGAAGATCATGTCAGCAGTGCAACGACTGGACCTGTAACAACACTAATTCCGAGTGAATATGACGACGTGCTTGATAATCATGTTCATAATCAGTCCATTTAGTATTTTACCAGTAATTAACAGCAGAGATATTCCACGCTAGTTTTTGCAAACATTTCTATTACGTTTGTTCTTGTATATCTTGTATTAAGGCAACGTTGTAATCTTAAGGAAGAGGACCAGCCAATCTCCATATTACTTTGAAAAGTTGGGTACCTCGGCGTGGTGTAATGGTTAGCAAGCTTGTCTCGCTAGATCAGTTACGACTGAAAAGTGAGTTCGATCCTCACTGGGTGTCCCATACTTTCGGCCTTGTGCCACATCTAAGCTACGCTTAGAAAATAACTATATTAGGCACCTCGGCGTGGTGTAATGGTTAGCAAGCTTGTCTCGCTAAAACAGTTACACCTGAATAGTGAGTTCGATCCTCACTGGGTGCCCCGTACGTTCGGCCTTGTGCCACATCTAAGCTACGCTTGGAAAATCACTATTACTTTGAAGAGCTTCTTGTCTACTCGTAGATTTCGGGCAGAATAGCATCTTTTCTAATTGCTTTACCTGAAGAGACTTGTTCGATGGAGTCCAAGACTTCCTGCAAGATTGGCTCGAAAGATATTTCTCATATTTCAGGATGTTGGTAAATGACTACAACAACGTTTCCATCAATGATGGATGGTGTGATGCTTCCAACTGTGTAAGATATCAGACTTGTCTGACAGAATTGTTTGTCCATTTGAGAAGACTACTGGTGTAACCCCATTCTATCTAGGGTCATAGACCATCAAAGAAGGATTTGATGCCCTGCCCTTGAATACCTGCATTGTTTGCAGACCACCAGTCCCCATTTCTTTTCTGTGAGATCACTGAACCTCACTATTTCACTTCAGGTACTGAATCTTCTTTGCAGAAAAGTTTTTTTTTTATCATTAACCCATGCTTTGTGTGAGCTGTTCATTTGCTCGATGAGTAACTGGACTTCACTGTTGCTTTCATAAAACCAGCCCTAGGGCTTCGCAATCAGAAGTCTTTGTACCTCCAAAGAAGCAGTATCTAATGTACCACGAAGTGCTTTGCATGATAATTCAATATTGTTAGTGAACTTGCAGGCATTGAGACCAGGATCCAGCTTATTGCAGAGCTATCTTTATTTTTCTGGTGATTCCGAAGCCAAGGGATTTATCCGATTAGGCACAGGTGTCTTCTGCAGTCTCTTATGAACAGGCCGAAAGGAAGCCTTACTGGGAAGGAGAGCAAGGTCAGAAATCTGAAATGCGAACAGTTGAACACATGCACATTTTTTCACAGTTGATAAAATAATGGATATGAAAGAATGTGCAGTTATGCTAACACATGTTTTATTTTAATGTTAAACAATAATATAAAAAAAACACCCCAAAACATTTATCATACGATAAAATTATTGGCCCACTTGCCTCTATAATCAATTGATTACTTTATTCGTGATTATTGATTTTAATTGTTTTAATAATTCCTTACATGATCCCTATACACACTGATAGATATTTTGCTCCATTCTTCCTTGGCAATAGTTTCTAGTTCCTCCAAAGTCAATAGACTTCTTTCTTTAATTCTTTCTTCAAATATACCCATAAATTCTCAATAGGGTTTAAGGTCAGGACTTTCTGTGGAGTATGCCAATGCCTTAATCTTGCTGTCATCTAAGTATTTAGTAATAATTCGTGCTGTGTGTTTCAGGTCATTGACATGTTGGAACGTCTAGTGACACTCCAAAGACAGCTTTCGTCCATTTTTGTTTTATATTATTTTTAAGGATAGTCAAATAATGTTCTTTATTTATGATACCCTGTACGCTCACTAGTTCTCCTGGTCTAAAAGCAGCAAAACGACACAAAAGAATGTTTCCACCAAGGGTACATAATATATTATTTTTAACATAGTATTTTTAGGTTTGTGAGCTTCATTCACTTTCCTCCATACATAACGGGAGTTCATGTGAATAATTCTAATTTGGTTTTATCTGACCATAAAGCAGAGTTCCAATATTTACTCACATGTTATAGATGGCTTCTAGCATAAGCTAATCTGGATTTTAGGTGTTTAGCCTTAAATATGGGAGATTTCCTTGGACGACAACCTCGAAGTGCTATTCAATGAACGCATCTAGTGACTGTCTTCGTTGATACATTCAACCCTGATGTCTTTACATAGTTGACAATGTCCTTTTTCGTTAAGTGTGGAATCTTTGAGATATCTCAAAGAATTTTCCTTTCCATTCTCTCAGAAATTAACTGTTTTCTCCCATTCCTTAATTTATTCTCAATGATTCGTTATATTTCTTGATAATACTACAAATCTAAGAAGATTTAAACGCCTGGAAATTGTCATATATCCATCATCTTGTTTGTACGAATCAAATATTTTAAGCCTCTTTTCAACTTCATCTATCGTCGCCACGATTGCAGAATGATATCGCGGTACGTTGCACTCACATATTGTCTTCGTCATTAACTTTTAGAATGTTATATTATCAGGTCAATATTTTTTTCATTTTCAAAGGGTATTTGTAATAAATGTTAAATTAAGAAAACACATTAGAATTGCTATAAAGCAATATCATTTCACAATTTCCATTAGGCGTGGATGAGTAAATTTTTGCTGAACCATTTTTTAGAAAAATCTATAACTATGAATATAAAAGATTGAAAATTCTAAAAATTTCTCAAAATTATTCAAAACTAAATACGGAATCATCTATTTATGATAAATTCAAAAAGTACTTGCAATTTGTCGCATTTCCATAGAAAATATACAAATATTCAATGAGGGCGAACGATTGTGTCCACAATTCTGTGTGTATACACACACACACACACACACACATATATATATATATGTGTGTGTGTATGTATATTCAAAATTATAGATTTTTCTAAATATATATATACATATATATATATATGTGTGTGTGTGTACACTTTCCAAATCAGTCAGTTAAATCTGCTACCTCTGTTGAATTGAAGTCAACACTCAAAGGCGATAGATTGTTTCTTGCTAAACGTAATCATCATGGCCTGATGATTGTGTTTAGCATGTAGGCTTGCATCAGCCATGCTGGTGGGAAGAAAAAAAAGAGTCTCTTATACTATGAAAGGCCAACAGTTTTGGGGAATATTTTTTTTGTTTTTTTTTGTTTTTTGTTTTTTTTGCATACGTTAAAATTGTCAAGCCATGTATTGCCCCAGTTAACAACAGATTGAAGATCCTTTTCGAAATCAGCTGCCAATTTGTGTTTATTGAACATATCAGACTTGCCATTCTATTATAGCCTGATATAATAAATTAATTCTTCTATATATTTCGACGTTCCTTTATTCTCAGTTTTATTTCACCTATTATTGTCTCGAATTGTTCACGAAAAAAACGTTTGACGCCTCTTGGTAAACTGGGGTAAATAAATTAACGCTCTCCGCACACTACATAGAAAAATTATTAAACCTTTTTATTCCTTATCATATTACTTATGGATATGTGATTTTTATGCTGCCAATGTACACAAGAGACTTGATTTACAATAATGTTTAATATACATTATTGTTGCAACTACATTTTAGAAAAGGAATTCTAATGAAGATGTTTATTGGAAGCAATATGTTTACATATATCTTGCTTTTTTTTTGTTGAACAAAGAAGCCATCTGAGAATAGAATTAGTTATAAATAATGACTTCAAAGTTGTTTTGCTTTTTTCAATTATAGTCAGTCTTGTCTCATTTAAAAACATCCATCATTAGCTTTGGCGAAATCATTAAAGAAATCTATCCTTCAAGCTAATTTCTGCATTGGATTATGTTTCGCGCTGCATTTTCTATGTAATTAAATACTGACTGTCATGATATTCAAAAATGAGCCACTTGACTATCGTAGATAGCAGCAAGATTACTTTTTTAATTTTAATTATCTTTACTTACAGGCTGCAAACATTGTTACATTTATGTACGTATTGTAAACATGATTATCTGTAGTGATATCACAAGTGGATAATGGATGATTATTTTCTGGATGATTTAATTTTACTGTATGTGAAACGAGGGCATATTTTATTGAAGAAAGAAAGAAAGAAAGAAAGAAAGAAAGAAAGAAAGAAAGAAAGAAAGAAAAAAGGAAAAATAGAAAGAATAATAGAAAAAAGAAAAATAGAAAGAAAAAAGAAAGAAAGAAAGAAAGAAAAATAGAAAGAAAGAAAGAAAGAAGGAAAAAAGAAAGAAAGAAAGAAAGAAAGAAAGAAAAAGAAAGAATGAAAGAATGAAAAATAAAAAGAAAGACAGAAAAATAGAAAGAAAGAAAAATAGAAAGTAAAAAGAAAGAAAGAAAGAAAGAAGGAAAATAGAAAGAAAGAAAAAAGAAAGAAAGAAAGAAAGAAAGGAAAAAAAACAAAGAAAGAAAGAATGAAAAATAGAAAGAAAGACAGAAAAATAGAAAGAAAGAAAAATAGAAAGAAAAAAAGAAAGAAAGAAGGAAAAAAGAAAGAAAGAAAGAATGAAAAATAGAGAGAAAGAAACAAAGAAAAAAGAAAGAAAGAAAATAGAAAGAAGAATAGAAAAAAAGAAAAATAGAAAAAAAAATAAATTCAGAGACTGCAATACGTGTATCCACTAACATTACGCCTCTGAGAGGAAGTAATATCAGGTTAAAAAAATTAATTTTAAAAAACTTCATGTTGTTTACGCTTCAATGAGGAAAATGAAGCTAGCAGCTAATATATTTGTACAAGTTCCAACGAGAAATGTGCGCTTCGTTAAATAGAAAAATTGAAATCTGCCCTATCAAGATGGTCTCACATGGTCAAATTGATAGTGGCTGTCTATATTTTAGGATGGAAAAAGGGATACAAATTCGTTTTTTGTCGACGGTAGGGGCAATTTTTATTTAGCAGGATTTCTCGATCACAGCCAGTTGTTACTAATTTCACTGTTTAAGAAAATAAATAAAGATAGCAACTGAATCACGTATACTCACTAAATATAACGTTTAGAGTTTTAAGTTTTCAATTCGTTGCCTCAAACTGATGGCCTTGTACCAATCTAGGCTAAATAACGAACTACAATAAGGCTTACAACCACGTCACGTTAAAACAATGACTCCCGTACGATCACCGAAGTTAAGCAAAGTCTATTCTGGTTAGTATTTAGATAGGTGACCATTTGGAAATACCAGGTCTAAGCTTGGGCGTGCGGGTGGTGTAATGATAATTGTTAATTGAAGAGTCATGTTTGAATTACCACTGGGTTCTTTATATTCACGTATGCGCAGATACCCATGGGAAACGCATATATCCACGTCTTTTTGCCCCCAGATATAAGTTAATTAGTAAGACTTGTATCACTAAAATTATTATCTTCAAAAACAAAAGTTATTACAAATTACAAATATTTCCTGGATTTAAATAACCTGCAAAGTGGTGATAAACCGCAAAAGAGCAAATTAATCAATCAGATAAAAACAACTATGATGACCAATTTCAGCTTCACATTTTTAGAAATAATTGGAAGTTTTAAGATAAATAAAATCAGCCACTTCCGACTGATTATTCCTAAGTTCATGCTATATTTAAAAAAACAAAACATAAATGCTTTCATTTACAGATACTCGCGTTAAATTCTGTTCATTAAATAATGAAATTTGACTTTAATTATTGAGAGCATTTAGTAGGCAAATCTCGTGTTGTGTTGCCGCTTAAGTGATAATCTTCAGTCCTCGACCATACAATATAAAGCAAGGTAAAACTTTCTTTATATTTAACACAAGAATTTAAAAGATCCCAAAAAAGAAACAAAAATAGTTATTTCAGATTGCGTAGAAGTATGTAAATTAATGTCCTAATTTCTATCACAAAGACAAATAAAAAGATCATGAGACCGTAGACAATAAATAGGCAGATTCTTTAACGGTTTTTATTATTACGTTTCCATTTTGCTTTCAACTCTCTTTCAGCTAGTGCTCAATCTTTCCCGCTTGAAGAGTTTCTAAATATAATTGACGATCTCTAACCCTTGAAAGGTAGCCAAACAGACAAAATATCAATATCATTTCAAAGTGTAAAAATAGAGGGAAAATAATATTGATTATCTATGCCATAACAAATCATGATTTTTCTAAAATTGCCACATATATATATATATATATATATATATATATATATATATATATATATATACTGCCATTATAATTTCTATATTCTATATTTAGCGTTTAAAGAGTTTACTAACTGCTATATTTGGCATTTGTCATGTTTCTTAGAACATATAATGGCCAACCGGTGCCGCTGCGCCGTCGATATGCAGACGAATTCCATAAATAATGACAATTAAATTTTGAGTTTCATTCATTCATAAAAAAAATTCTTATTCGTTACGACATAGATGCTGGATTGTTTCAGAATTTTGTACGTGGCTTGTCTCATATCGACTAAGTTTAGTACAAATTACAATGATGTCATACTAAAAGTGTATTTTTATGAAAGGGAAAAACACATTAAGTATGAAATTTCAGGAAAAAACCTGCATGCTACGATTTCCGCCTAAAATCACTAAAATCCTTAGCAAGAGATATAGTCTATATAATCTTTTAGTTATCATTTATCTCTGAATTTTCTGAGAAAAGGAGTTATTTACACTGTTTACGATCAAACTGATCTCCCTATTCTTATCATCAAAACGTTTCGGCCATTGTGCCATCAAGTTTTCTTCAGGTGTTTGTTGATCTGGATAACATTTAGCAGCAGAAGGACGAGAACAATATTAGGTTTAAGGTTGCAAGTTCTAAGTTCAGTATTGAAGAAGAAAAGAATGGAAACTCGAAACAATTAGAATCGTCACTTATCGGACCACGACCTACGTTGTATTAGATCATGCCTTATTTTTCTCCCTTTTTAGAAAATCAACATTGCACTCAATGCGAAAGTTGCAGGTTGATAGGAGAATTACAGATTCGATTCATAGCTTTTTACCAAGTTTTGAGCATTTAGTTTTAAAAATTGTTAGAAACAATGTACAGAAATTCTTAATTTTTTTTAGGTTTTTACTTACAAACTGACTTTAAAATTTTACAATTTCAAGAAAAAATTCATTGAATGAAAAATGTATTCTAACCAGGAGTTAAATTATGAATCACCACATGTAAAATATTTTACAGATTTTTTACTGTATTCTATAAGTAAAAACTGTGTAAAAAATGTAAAAGATTACAAAAAATGGTTACTCAACGAATACGATTTTTAGTTCATTTGTTAGTTGACAATTAATAAAAACCAAAAATTGATAAAAGTGCATATAACACCATAATACTGACGACCAAGATGAAATGCTTAAAAATGTTATTGGTTATGTTTTCGCACAAAAACTACTGCACTGTATAATATATTACAACATAATACAGGTAACTTGTTCAGTATTTTCCCTTAAGTAAATGAAGGTTTTATTTGATGGCAAAATGGTTTAGTAATAATGTGAATACGCCTTGCATCTTGACAATATACAATTTGTAAAGCTTCAGATTTTCACTGATCACCTGGAATGAAATTTCAACGTTACAATTTTGAATCTAATCAATTTTAAATTCATTTCCTCAACAAACGCTAACGATCTGAAAAAATATTTTATGTCGTTATTTATCATGTCCAACTACAACTGTATTGCAATTTAATTGAGTGCAATACCAGGGTTCCAGAATCACTATGTCCTAACGTTGGATGACCTTTAGACTCCAATTAAACACGCAGTTGTGAGTTTTGTCTTGTGTTGTGGTATTAACAAGGGCATTCTGATGCACGTTTTCTTCCCATATCCTACAGAAGTTTAAGTTCTGACTTGAGCTTCAAGACATGCGTCTGGTATCGGCTGTACTAATATGAATTAAGCCCAGATTTGAACCCAAATTGTTAACCAAACCTATTCTAGACGAACACTTCTGGTCATGATTATTAAGGAACCATGCTCATCCCCTGTAGTTTCCATAGTGAGATACAGTACCTTCCATAAGGTGTTGCCATTACACAAGTAGCACTTTAGATGGATATGAAATGGCCACCAAATTACATGAAATAGAATACCATATTCTAACCCTGGTCGAAATCCCATAATTCAGGTCCTGAGCAGCCTAGTTGATCTTCAGACCACAACTGATATTGTGCCTGGTACTTTCCATGACATTAAGTAAATTAATTTGCATGACTTTTACAACGTTACTGTATTTATTAACGGGATAAACACATTATCCATCGCAAAGATGTGTGTGAGTGCCTCACCGGTTATCTTAATACTGGGCTCATTGATAGATATGAGTCTATGAGTATCCTACCATGTTGCCCAGCTGAACTTTCCAACGTCTTTTTTTCACACTACGGTACGTATCCTAGCAGCAAACTATATTTACACTTTATTGCATTCTGTCAATTTACCCAAATATAAAAATGTAGACAGGACTGGCGCCAGTTTCTAGTAACTGATCACCACGACAAGTTTCTTTGCATTACTTTAAGGCTGATGTTTTTTCTGCTTAAACAAAATTCATAGAAACTTACCAAAAATAAACTAAATAGGTTTACAAGTTCGAAAAAATTAAAGAAATATGTTTTGGTCTTAAGATGGAAACATTGAAAACACATTTCTGACTTGTTCTGCGTGTATAGACTTTCACATTCTCTCTTTCCCTTTTCCTCTCTCTCATTTCTTCTCTATCTCTCTTTTTCAATTTCTCACCCCCTTTCTCTCTCCTACCCCTCTCTCTCTCTCTCTTTCTCTCTCTCCTCCTCCCCCTCTCCCTCTCTCTCTCTTTCTCTCTCTCCTCCCCTCTCTCTCTCTTAAGCATTTTCTTTCTCAATCAGCAATTTATCTTCAGGACGTAAGCGATCATGGCTTTGCAGTATTGTATTCTGTTGTTTCTTTATCTCACTCCATTGTTCCCTGGATTCTTTGCTTTTGCTTGCACATATTTCTGATGCTTTATCTTAACCTGATATATTCTGAGCAATTTCTTAGTGTTATCTGCTTTCTCTTATTAGACAGAGGATTTCGTCTGTTAGGCTCTTTTTATTTCTCTTGTTTTTCCATTTTCGAGATGACTTATTTTCTTACATCTCTCGTGCTTTCCTCGAGATGTTCAACTTTGACGATCTGACTTATTGCAAAGTTTTATATTTGTTTCCTTTTACTGCGTTTGCTTGCAAATACAATTACTTGTAGCATTGCAATTGATTCATTGTCTTGGGCTTCTTTAATTCTAACATAATTTTACCCTCAGATTGCATATGACGGAATTTATAGCTTGTTAAGTATTCTGCATTCTCGGTGATGTAGCGGTTAGCATTATTGTCTTCCATGTTCTACTCCCGGCTTACAAATTCGTCTTGTATGTGCAGGTGGTGTAATGATTAAAAACTTGGAACGAAAAATCAGAGAACCGAGATCGAATTCTCCTCGAGATAGTTACATTTATTTTTTTTTTGCAAAAATGCCCTTGGTATGGATTCATTTCTTCTGCCTAACTGAGTATGATTTAAATAGCAGGGTAAACTGGACTTTCTAACCGTGGTTGGGTTATTTTTCTTGTAGACTGTCAGGCGACACCTCCTGAAAGTGCGAAAACTTGACCCTCTTCATAAA